AGGGAGCCCGTGTGAGGTGCCGCGCCGGGCAGGGCGGTGTGGTCACTGCCCTCGCGCCCCGGGCCGCGGAGAGCAGCGTGGGGTGTGTGTGACACCGCTGACACCGGTGCCGTGCTCGGCACTCTGCCGATAAGATCGCTTCTTGTTCGCTGCTTTACTGTAGGATTTTCTCCAAAACCCTTTGCTTGTGACCTTGTGCGATAACCCCCACGTTTTTCACTGTCCAGTTGTAGATATTGCTTCTTCTGTCTCAGGGAATTTGTCTCAGGGATTCTCCCCTCCGCGTTCTTCTCCTTTCCTTCTCTCTGCCCACTCTGATCTAACTGACCTCCAGCACAACCCCTGGTTATCCAACGTAAGCCTCGGGTGTTAGGACCATTCCTCCAGGTGTTACAGAGCTAATCGCTAGAGGAAATGTGAAAACTGCTTGATTATACAAGGGAGAAGTGTTGCCCATCTGCACATCAGCATTAGTTGTCTGTGGAGGCTCTTACTGCACAGCTCAGGGTGTGGGTTATGGTCATTCTTCCTATAAATGTGCTTGCATAAGCTTTCTGTTCATCTTAGCCTGTAAGAACAAATATCAGTGCAGTCTGCAGACTTCTGGAGACTTTATGAGGCAGGTTGAGAATGTAAGAAGTACATTTGCAGGATGCTTTTTACTAAGAACGTATTTGGTCTGTATTTGTAGAAGTCAGGTTTGTGATATTTATATTCTTCATGCAAGTGTTCATGAAATGCCACATTTGCATAGGAAACTGAGACTTACAGATGCATAAGTAGAAAAAAATGTAGTAAAAAGCCTGATAGTTGGTTTAAAGGTCAGATTGTAAATCATATGTATGAAGTGAATTTAGCCTTATTCTTGTTTGTTTTGATTTTTGTTGGAAAAGGAAACTGGTGTCCTTGGCTGTAGAAGATGATGTCATCAGACTGTTCATACATAGGAAAACCTAATACATACTGTTTGTCAGGTCTTGAGCAGATCAGTCTTTGTGCTGCTTTTCCTGCTGGTAAAGTGTCCCTGTTGCTGCATTTGTTTATGAAGTGCTTCGAGATGTGATGTTGGAAGGCTGTTAAGGAAATCTTTCAAGGCAGATGAGGGAGAGGATGATGGCAACAAGCTGCTAAAATTTGTGTTTTATATGAGGTGGTTCAATGTCTGAGCTTTGCTTTACAAATTACTAATAATGGTACAATAATTAGTGTTAACGTGACTTGCTCCTTTCCTACAGGTCTAAGGTTTAAAAGCAGCCTTGTCTTTAAACCTTTAAGGACCTTTAAGGTCCTTTATCTTTGTGCCTTAAGGCAACTGAAGTGACAGTTGTGTAGTTTTGTTTTGCTCACCAGAGTTGTAAGAATGTGAACATAATGGCTGGTGGTTTCAATGTATCTTTCCTTTTGTCTTGTCTCTTTTTCTGATCTGTCATTTCAGGAAAATGATCTCTATAACTTTCATTTTGATTTGGATTTGTCGTCGTGGGACTCGGACCTTTGGAATATCACAGGCCATGCTTATACAGGTAATTGACCTTCTCTATTTTGCAGGTATGACTCTTGCCCCTCTGCCCCACAGGGGTGAGCTGTTAGGGCTTAAGGATAGTGATAACTTATGTGGAACTCTTTGAGGCCCTGCAGCCTTTGGCTCTGTGATGAGAAGTTGTGCTGTGTTTCTGTAGGACAAGTACAGCTGGTGAGGACTGTCCTACGAGCTAAGCTGTTTAGTACCTTTAATCTCGCTGTGTTTTCTGCTGTGCCTGGCTTCAGGAATTAAATAGCTGGTGTAGGCCAGTGAGTTCTTTATTGACTACCCATTGCTAAAAACCTGTGCAGTAAAATTTCTTTATCTGCCTCTTGCAGATGCAAACGTGAAGACAGAACCCTTATCACCAGCCACCTCAAATTGTTCGGTCCCGTCTCCGTCGTCGCTGGACTCTCCGGTGCAGAATGTGCCTGTATGCAGAAACCTCCATGTAACACAGATAGCAGCAGTTGTGACAAACACAAAGCATAGTGATTTACTTCTCTGACCTACTTCAAAGAAACAGCTTATTTTTCCAACCATTGCAAAACCAGCTTCTCTTCAATTACGTTTAGTTACCCCATCTCTGTGACCCATTTGAATAAGAGCGCGTTCAGTTTGGTTTCCTCAGCTATGTTTATTCGCCTAGTTGCCAAACAAATGCCTTTTAAAGGCTTCTGAGTCTTTGCAGTTGGTGGCCTCTGCCTCCCATTGCTGTGCTGATGGGGAGAAGTACTTGTTGGGCTTTTTAAGTGATACCTGGCATTGTCCAGAATAAAACTGCAGAAGAAAACCTTTCTCATGTTTGTTGTAGCAGCAACATGTGCTGAAAGACAGTTGTACTTTGAACTACTATTAGACACTCTCTGTGTTTCCGAAGCATTAATCTCATGTGTTTTCTGTCTGCAGGATGATGTGGACTTCAGCTGTAGCTCCCAGATGTCTCCTATCTCTCTCTACAGCAAGAGCTGCAAAAGCCCTGCATCCCCTGAAGGAGATGGAGGGAAGAAGCCTGTTGTCAGCATTGCTTCTCGAGCTGGTATGAGATGGAGTTACTTTGATCCTCCAGACAGGATGTGTGTTGTCTTACATATGAATGATTATCTAACATACTAGTTATCCTGCCATTTCTGACTTGAATTTGTGATTAGATATATTTATTTGTAACAAATATTATAGATGGGTAAAAAACACGTATCAAAAGTGATTTTGTTATTGCTTGAATTCTTTATTTTATGCCTTCTGGTTCAACTCTGACTTTTTTTTTTTTTTAATCTAGCAAATAATTCTGCCAAGAACCTGAAGAGGAGTGGTCAGACTGTGTCCAGGCCTTTGATACAACCCAAACCCCTTTTGCCTGCTGTGCCTGAAGCTCAGGCTAACGTTGGCATCCCAGCTAAAACCATCATTATTCAGACTCTTCCCATGCTTGTGCCACTGCCAAAGAATCAGCCAGTTGTTAACATCCAGCCAGCTCCTCCTAAAGGTAGGTGAATTGTCTTGACTGAGCCAGTCTTGGGGGTAGTACTATGTCTGTTTGGGATGGCTGATAGAATGAAGTTTGGTTTGGTGGGTGAAAGGAGAGGGGTAGGAGTAAAAGGGGTCATACATGCTTTGCTGAGAAAGCTTTAGGCTGAGAAGATGGCCTTATTCCTCTCATATTGTCCTATGAGAAACAGCTCACCTGGGCATTTTGTGGAAAGGAAGACAGTATAGCAGCAGACTGCTGCAAACTGGCAACTGTGAAGATAAAACTGCTGATCTGAAGGTAGCTGTTGGAATCCTTTGCTCAGCTTGTGATGGCAAGTGGTGTGTAGGGAGATTACAGTGCTGTTCTGTCATAACCAAAGGAAGGTCCAGCAGAATCAGGGTGGCTTGAATGAAGCTGGAAAGCTTGGGAGAAGTGATAAAAGCTTTTTTTTGTCCATGTGAGAGACTGCCACAGGCTGGTGGGAACACGAGTTTGTGGATTTTCATCTCACTAAACAGCATTAAATATAATGTGTGATCTGCTAAAAGTTAAGAGCACCATGTCAGAGGTGAGAAGAGCTGCTTACAGCTGTAAGCTGATGTTAACAAGAGGCAAGTGATTTCTTTTCCCCTGACAATTCTTCATTCCTGCGCTTGCCCTGTAGCCGAGTTTTGAAGTAGCCTGAGCTGTCATTTCTGAATCCAAAGCATTACTTCACTGTCCAGCTGAGGCAATAAGGACATTGCTTGCATTGCAGGAATTGTCAGATGCAATTGCTCGTTTCACCAGCTGATGGCCGCAGTCCCTTGCGGTTGACTGCACAGGCACTGAGGCATGGAAGGAAAAAGAGACAAATTCTTAAGGGCATATATCTAGAAATTATTGCAATAGTAAAAAATTTGTCTTCGTTGCTAATTGCTCTTCCATCAGGAGTTCAGCCAAATCTGGAGACACTGATATATGTTACAACATGCCTAAGATTGTTAGACTGCTTAAAACACAGGTCAGCACAGTCAGCGTGACCTAATTCTTATTCCTTCTGATGTTCCAGCTGATAAAATGCCATCTGGAATAAGGAATGTTGGGGATATGGACTTTTTGGATTTCAGTATACTACTGTGAAGATCAGCTTGTCCTCTCCCCTAAAGAAAAGTCAGAACAGTAGTTTCTGTGAGAGACTATAGAGGAAATACTTTTGGGAAAGTATTTCTCCTCTCCCCTAAAGAAGTCAGGACAGTAGTTTCTTTGAGAGACTGTAGAGGAAATACTTTTGGGAAAGTATTTCCCTGCAATCTTTTTACTTTCACTGATGGTGTGTTTAAAAATTCCATTGTGCCAGTTCCATAACAAAAAACATAAGGATCTTTTTCATCAATCAAAATCCTCTGCCTATGACAAATTGGAGTTACCAGTTTGAAATATGCCACAATCTTCAGAGGAGCATTAGGAATTGTATTTTTGCAGTCCCATTTATAAAAGTTTAAAGGAGAAAGGATGGTATTAGAGCAACACATACTTTATGCATACAAAAATATTGAAATAATCTCAAATTCGCCATTTAAGGTTCTTGAATAAGGTACTTTAAAGGAGAAAGGATGGTGTTAGAGCAACACATACTTTATGCTTACAAAAATATTGAAATAATCTCAAAATCGCCATTTAAGGTTCTTGAATAAGGTAGTACTAATTTATGATGTCTTCAAGATTGTGTCTGCAAAAAAGGTAGATCTAATCCTACACCCCTTACATAAAAGATCTTGGCACTAGGTAGATTACTTCATTTTTCACCTTCCACTGGGTAAATGCTGTAATGTATTGTTGTGCGTTTTGGTTGGAATGCTCAGCTGGAATGTGCTGTTTCTGAAAGCTGGCAAGGTCATCATGTTACAAAGGATTAGGGAGACATTAATGTGTTTTCAGACAACAAAATATTACTCAAGCACCTGCTTGAGTTAAATGTAGTTGTTGGACTGAAATTTCTTGGCATTGACTGTTTCTAATTCCATTTCAAACTCTCAAAATTACCTCATTTTTTCTGCCTGCTTTTCTTTAAGCTCTGTTCAGCTTGTGCATAAACTTTGTTGCATATGACCTTTTCTTTTAAAAAATGGTCTTAGTGTGAATTGAAGCTTTAACATAAGTTTTGAAAGTGTAACTTGCACTGTTCTTTTTCGTTCATCTTCATTCCCTATGCTGTTTTGAATTGGTCTGTACAGTATGAGTCGCTTCTGTGTAGTGACTTTTCTATTGAATACAGCAATAAAGTAGGTATGGACAAAAGGGAGGAGGAAGATTGAGGTAATCTGGCAGAGTTCTTAGTTGTTCAAAGTGCTTCAAGTGTTAGCAATACCGAAATGAGTAATGTTTCTAACAAGTGTTGAACTTTAGTAACTTTGAAGCACTTTTAGGAGAGAGCTTGATTAAGCGGATCCTTTTAATAAGTGTAGTTTTGTTTGCTGGATGGATTACAAGTCCTGCAAACTTTTGAACCTCTTTTTCCATTCTTATTCTGTGGAATATACTAATGGATTTGAGACAAATTGTGCAGGGCAGGAGAGGAAGCAAAGCTTTCTGCCTCCTATATGAGTATGCCCATTCACAGCAGTTGTATACAAATAGTTTCTTAGATGCTGAACACTGGGTTTTTTGTTCCAGGTCAGTCAGTGGTGCTCCCTCAGCCTGCTGTGGTACAGCTCCAGGCTTCTGGAGTGCTTCCTGCCTCCCAGCCAGTCATCACCGTCACTGGAGGGACCACACCACTTCCAAACCACACGGTGAACACGCTGCCTCCAGCTGCTGGAAACGGCTCAACGAGTGGCAAAATACCTGTGACTAAACCCTTGCTTCAAAGCACCACACCAGCAATGGGGCTGGATGTAAGTTCTGACTGTGTGATACTGATAACCAAGGCCTGGAAACTGCTTTCAGTTACCTGTATGTGGAATCTCTTTAGAGTCTCAGGAAAACTCTAACAGGATTTCTAACAGTAAGCAGGGAATTTGGCAGCTTGGCAAAGAATGGGGAGGAACAGCTTGATACCTTCTGGCCTGCCTGGAGTTGCAGACTAGGTGTGCAAGCATAGTGGCAGAAGGCAGTGCTGATACATTTTTTCCATCACTTGTCTTCTCAAGTGCAAGCTCTCAATGGCTGGAGCTCTCTTATATACAGGAAGGTTTGATGTATCTGATTTTTCGTTAGTGCTAAACCATTTTTCTAATCCATATAAGAATTTCTGATCCATAATTATATAATAATTTCTAATCTATATAAACATTCCCTTGAAAGTAGATGAACTGGGAATGTCAATGCCTAATTCTTTTTCCATCCCCCTTTATCTCCCTAGATTTTACTTGTCATTTTTAGAAACTTCAGGTATTGAGTTTCATATGATCCTAATCTCTTCAGGCTCCCTTTTTATCATATACTGTATGAGTAGCAAAGGGGTAAACTCTCAACAATCCCTGTGCAAATAAGCAAGTTTTCCATAGTAGCTCACAGTAAGCAGTAGGTGTAAACAGAAATAGCTTTTGAGATGTGTGGGGTTTTTCCCCCTCCCTTCAGCTTTGACATCTTAATTAGCTGGAAAGCTGGATGCTAACTTGACTTAGTTCATAGTAGTTTGGAACTATTTTGGTTGCATTTTGTTGCCCAAAGAAGTCATGCTTGTGGAAAGTACCAAAGCTTCTTATTTGTGGCTTTTAAGCAAAGTGTCATTACCCAGTGTGGTGTTCCAAGGGAAGTTCTGAGCTGAGGGTCCTACCACATCTCAGTGTAAGGGAGGAAACACTGGTATCTATTCACATGGAATTTTGCTCTGTAGTCTTTGCTTATTAGCAGTGCAGATCACTGTTTCTCAAAGGCCTGTGCCTGTGGCTTCTTTGCAGGGACATTGCTGTACAGTTTCGTAGTGTCTGGGAATTGCCACTCATGCTTGATGTTAAATTGTCCTCACTAACTGTGTTTGTGTGTGAGCTGCGTTTTAAAATGAAAAATAATGTGCTACGAATAATCCATCAGCCAGAGTGCAATGGAAACCTGATAGTGAATTTGCAAGAAGCTAGCAAAGGTCTGTCAGTGGACAGACCAGTTAAGAGTGATGCACTTTTAAATGGTAATTGCCTGCCATGCAAAGCTGAATTGAAGAGACCATTCTGGAGATTTGCAGCTCCCAGTAAGGAAGAGTTTAACACATTGGCATTGTCTGAATGTAACTTTTAATTGACAAAACCCTCTGATTGTCATCCTACTTGATATACACATCCCTGACAGTCAGTAATCAAAGGGGTAACTGGGGTAATGAACAGTTGCTTGGTTTGAATGATGGTTGTGTGGGTATTTCCACCCAAAGCACTTTTAGGGAGGCAGTTTTAGACTTGATATCAGCCTAAATGCTGCTCATTTTACCTGTGTTTGTTGAAACATAAAAAAACAGTGGCAACTGCTCTTTGGCACATACTGTGAAAAAGTGCTTTGAGAAAGAACAAATGTTTTGGGATTCATCTGGCGCCAGCAGGGTTAACACAGCTCACCACTGCCTTGGACTCCATATGTGGCTCAGAGCTGCACAGATGTGTCTGTCATTTGAGCTCTAACACGTGTTTTTGTTTGCTAATCTAAGCAGATGTTGCAGGATAAAAAGGAACACTGCAGGACTTTCTTTTGGGCTTAGGAGGGATAAACTGTTAGCTTAACACTCAGTCCTTGCAATGGATTGCACCGAGATGGGCTGACAGTGTGAGGCTCTGCGTGGTGCATGTCCTGGTGGCACAGGTTTGCACTATTTGCCTGCCATGGGGAAGTGCCAGGCTTTCCTCTCGGTCACCCATTGCTGGGAAACAACTTTCCACTGGGAAACTGGACAAAAGAAATGCTGCCTAAGCAGCCACTCTTCCGGCTGAAGGAAAGAGGCTCTTAACCAAAAAAAAAAAGGCAGATTGCCTTTCCTGTTGCAGCTCAGTGATGTGAGGACATAACCAGTAGATGTTAGAAATAATTCGGTTTAATTGTGTCCTTATAGAGCCTTTCTCATGTTTCAACTCTGTAGCAAGAAAGGATTTAATTCTGTCTCCCAGCCCTCTTGATTCAACAATACTGAAAATTCTAGAAGACATTAGATTCTGCAATTTCAGCATGGGTGTGGTTTCTATTGAAGAATCCTGTTTTCTGTGCTGTACATTGTGTGATATCCACATGAAATCAACTCAAGTTGTGTTCTGTCGAGTTAGAGACAAGAAAACCCAGAACTTCCATAAGAACAGTGGAAAATCTTGCATAGATTTTGTTTTCCTGCATGTAAGATGCATCTTGGAAGACAGCAGCCATTGTAAGCTGAGGTTATAAACCAGCCAGTGCTGAATTGAAATGGTTTGTACTTTCAGCTCATTGTTAACTTTGCCAGCATGTGTACAAAAAGTCCTCTGGAGTGTGAGGGACATTCTCACTGCCTCGTGCTAGAAGTACAGCTTTCATTGGAATGAAAGTTCTGCTCAGAACTGCATTTTCTTCAGAAGTAAATTGAGGTAGCAGTGTTTATTTGTAAAGTGCACGAAGATGGAGGACAATCTGAATCTAGTTAGTGCTGTTTGAAGCAAGGGTTTGCAGTGAACCTCTCAGTTCTCTGTATTTACAACATTGTGTGTGTGGCTGTGCTAGTGGTGGTGTAGCTTTTAAAGCTAGGAAGCAGAAGTTGGCATCACTGATTACTGTTTGATTTTAAGGCCAATGTTTTCCCTTTGTGGTTTGTGTTTCTGGAGAACCAGAAGTTGCTATCTTGAGTGGAAAATTAATACAATGCAACCTACAAAGTGGGAGGCTGCAAAAGAAGTTAGCAGAGGTGTTTGCTACGTTTAATCTTGGTTCAGCACTTGTGCAAAGCAATGTTGCTCTAGCAGGCTGACATTATAAATTGGTTCCTCTCTCTCTTCTGATCATCAAAATGCTCAAGCAGGGGGTATGTTTGTCTTGATGCCAAGACAGCTATGTAATGCTTGTTGCCAGACTGTTTCCAGGTTCAAGCATTCTTGCATCATTTCACTCCCACAGCTCTTTCCATTCCTTGCATCAGATTTAGGTAGCATTGGGTGTTCAGTTGTGGCTTATTCCCCAAGAAAAGCCAGGCAAGGGCTAGAAGGTTGACCAAGGACCTCAAGCTGTTTTAGGGATTGTAAATTAAACCAAAATAACTCAAGAACACAAATAATGAGTTTCATTTAAGCAAGCTTAAGAAATGAGTCAGAATGAAACTGGTGTGGCATAGACTGAAATGCAGTTATTGCACAGAGTACTATGAATTGGACTGGGGAGAGCTGCTGTTCCCCACAGCACCTGGAGAACAGTGGAACAGTGGGTAGAGGAGGGCAGTCTTGATAAATACCATGTGAAATGTCTGAAACAGTTACAGATACACCTTAGGATGTACTCTTAGTGTACAGACACTGCACTGGTGCTTTAACTCCATTTTCTCCAGGGAAGCATGTAGATATGCCACAGACTGCAGATGCTCAATTAAAAACTATCTGGTAATGAACAATCCTGAGCAGGTCTGCAAACAAGAATGAATGTAAACAGTTTAGTCTTCTCTGTTTGACTTCATGATGCAAAACCTCTTTTTAAAAAGAGGAATGTAACTACTTGTTTGGAATAGCACACAAGTCCAGCCAAGGCTGCTGCGTGAACTCATTCCTTATTATTTCATCTCTGAACAGTTTAAGTGATCCTGGCCCCAAACTGATGTGTTCTATACACTGCAGTTCTTGGCTAGCCAGAATATTTTTTTGTCCAGTTTTTATGTGTCTGCAGAAAGGTTTTTTTTTATGTTAAATGTTGTAGTACTTCAAAAATTCAAGACAAAGCTTAGTGTTAATGAAAAATATGTTTAAATCTTTTCCTTCTCCACTCTCCTCTAAAGAGAGAAACTGGAACAAGTACAAACAGCTTCACTTTCACAGACTTTTGTTGGTGGCAACAGACTAGACATATAATAAATGATCTTTATAAAAAGCAATTAGACCAACATGGAGGCAGCCCAGAATGTTAATGCACTGTAACGTGTTTTCGTAGTGTTTGTTGCCAGACTGCAGCATCATGAAGAAAAATGCTTTCTTCAAACAACTTGTAGCCATTTTTTTTATCAGACACCAAAGCCCTAGAGCAAGATATTGTCTGTGTGCAGGTACATACAAGGAGAGAGTTGGAAAGCTATGGTTCAGGTTCTTTACACAGGCAGACCTTAACTGGAACACACTGAGTTGATGTTACAATTCTGTGACCTGTTTATTTTTTTCCTAGACTAATGCTTCTTGAGTAGTTGTCACCTTTTTACTTTAGCTTTCGTGCTCTGATAGATACAGGCTACTCCAGTGCATGTGTTGGTAGCTACTGGACAATCTTCAAGTCTGTGTAAGATAGAGCATTCAGTTCTCTTTCAATGTAATTGTCATTAAGGCACATCCAGTCGTAGCTTAATAATGTGATGGAAGCCTGTTTTTAGTGAAAACAGAGTTGCTGTTGCTAATCTGTGAGGGAAAGGAAGTCAGCAGTGTGCTGCTTAAATTTAGGATTTCAAGTAGTTTTGTATAGTTCTGCAGTATCCATCATTGTTATCCTTGTCAGCAGCAAGATGCTTTTGGTCTGGATCATCCCACTCAGTGCAAACCACAGTATGAGTAAGTGGTAAAAGATGATAGAGTGTTCCTGGCTGGGGGAAAAAAAAAACCAATCAGTCCTGACTGTTGGAGGATGGGGAGGAGTTACTTTGAACTGTCCCAGTCTGGTGTTGCAGACTGAATGCCTGCTAGTGGTTAGGTGAATTATGTGCTCTCCTGGAGTATATTTGCTGCTTGAGCTTCATCCCGAAGGAATCCAGTTTGTGTGCTCTATCTGAGACTGTTCTGTGATGTGAACCAAAGCACATTAAGCAGGACAATCAGGAAATATGCATCAAAGCCACACTCCTGATATGGGTTAAACAGTTAGTTAAACTGCATTTGAAACTGCCATGTAAGTGCTTGGTACATATAGAATGTGCAACCTGAGGTCAGCAACAGTACTCAAAGTCTCAAAAACTATATAGCATAGCTGGAAAAGGTACAGAAGCAGATGTAATCAGTGTGGAAATGGCTCCCATACAGAACACACTGGAAAATGTAGAACTTTCCTGTTAAGAAAACAGATGACTGATTGTAGCCTTTAAAATGGTGCGTGGTAAAGTGGACATGAATGATACTCTTGTTGCCTTGCAGACCTGTTGATACATATTTTCTGTCTTTGTGATTTGTTTGATCAAATCAGACTGCTGCTCGAGTATGCGTGTTGTGTCCCCTACACAGAGACAGTTGAGACACAAGAGAAAACAGAGACAGGGCAGAGCCTGTTTTTTCATTATCCATGAGCTATAACTCTTGGAGGTGTACCATGATCCCGAGTTGCCTCTGTGCTGAATGTTTCAGCTCATTTGAAGCAGAGTGTGGGAACATGTCCATGCAGACTTTAGACAAAGTAGAGAAGCAGAAATGATGCATGAAATAGAGGCACTTGTAATGTTTGGATGGTTAATGGGCCTGTGTGTTGTGTGTTCAGGTCAATGTCTTGAGACGGCAGCAGCGCATGATCAAAAACCGCGAGTCAGCCTTTCAGTCACGCAAGAAGAAGAAAGAATACATGTTGGGACTGGAGGCAAGGCTGGAGGCAGCCTTACTGGAGAATGAGAAACTCAAGAAAGAAAACAGCATGCTGAAGAGGCAGCTGGATGAAGTAGTATTAGAGGTAAGAGACTGCTGAAAGTCTGACTTTATATAAACACAGTTGTTAGGTGGAAGGTACTAGAACAATTGTGGAAATGTTGACTGTAAGACCTTTGGTGGTTTCTAGCCCAGCCTCCAACTCCAGGCATGACTTTCACCAACTCTAGGTCAGGACAGCTGTCACATTATCTAGTTGACCTTTAATTCTTTACTCTGTGGTTCATCTGAAGATTTCACTGAGAAGATAAATGGCATAGAAGCTGAATATACTGTATAAACAAAGGTTTAAATTTTAAGTAGCCCTGTCATGCATTAGTACATAACTAGGCAAATATGAATCTAACAAGCAAGTGTAATTTTGTGTATTTAGCTTCTGACTTACCTTTGCATATCTGTGCCCCTCTTTTTATTGCACGTCTTCTGTTTTTTTTTCCTGTCTAGAACCAGATGCTCAAAGTACCATCTCCAAAGAGAAGGACTCTGTGTGTGATGGTGATACTGGCTTTTATAATGTTGAATTATGGTCCATTGAGGTAAGTTCTTCCAGATATTAAGTGATTGATTTGTGCATCCCACCTGCATTTCAGACATTACCACTCACTTGAGAGAGACACTTGGTGAGAACTACTAGAACCAGTTATCTTTCTGAAGCTGAAGGAAATTTTAGTTGTCTCTGCATTGCAGTGAGGTGATGGAATGCAACAAACTTGTCAGTGATGACAAGCTTGGGAGCAGAAAAGGTGGGTGGGAAGTCTTTTCCCACAGTGCTCTAAAGCTTCCATGGCAGCTTCTCTATCCCAGGAATGAGTAAGGTGTTGAGCTCGATGGCAACGCACTGCTGTCAGATAGGCTGAAAGGTCAGTTTGTGTTCATATCCTTGCAACAGTCAGTAACTATAGAAATGTGACAGGGTTAATTTCTTGACATGTTTGATGTTTAATAAAGTAGATAAAGCAAAAAGAAAGCCTTGGATGTCTGGCTGTTCCTGGCCAGTGCAGTAGCTGAGCATGCCAGTGTAACTGCTGTGCCTGAACCAGGTGGTTTGCATCAGTACTGGATTTAGGCAGTGAAGAGAAATGTAATTGCAAATTTGCAAGGAATTACTCTTTCTGCTTTTTTTCCTTCTCCCTAGCAGAATAAATGCTTGCACCACAGTTAAATCCTAGCCTGTATCAAGGTGATGGGAATGTTGATTGTGCAGACCCAGAATGTAGGATATACAATTTCTTGAGATTTCATTCATCCCATACTCATTTTCTTCATTTTATAGAGGTGTCACTGAGTGGTAGTTCCACAAATGTGATAGTCAGGATTGCAGTTCTGCTTAGTCCTTAACAACAGAAACTTCCAATATATGTGCTGTTCTTCAGTCCCTGCAACTTCTTACAGAAATAAATTATTTTTTGTTATAATACCCATGCTAGCTTATAGTTCAGCAAAAGTACTCTTTTCCCCAAGTTAGCTAACTGTGGAATATCTAATTTCTATGCAGTGGCCAACTGCAGATAAATATGCTTTGAAACCTTGTGGCAGTGTGGACATTTCTTCTATGCAGGAAATCCTCTCACTTGCACACCTCTATGGAGGTGTCACAGCATTCAGGCTTGGGATGCTTTGATTCAAACATACTAGCAGTGAGTGTTTTATTATTTAAAGCCAATGAACAAAGCAAAGACAGAGTGGCATCCAAAAAAAAAGGCAAAATCACGGGAGATTCACCCCCTAAATTCTGTAGAACACTTTGAAATTGCCTTAGCTGGCTTTATTTGGAAGATGCTTCTTGGGTTCTTGGTTGGAAGGGATAGGATTCTTTGAAGACTAGAGGTAAAGCAAAAGGGCAAACGTATAGATTTTTCTCTTCAGTTACCTTTTTCCATCAAATCAGAGAAAGCAGGGAAGCAGTTGGACTGTTTTGGGATGGGGATGTGAAACTGAAGAACAGGCAGTCCTCAAACCCTCCGCGGCCTGCAGTGGGTCAGCAGAGGTGCAGTGTTTGGACACTCAGCATCCCACAAAGGAATCCCATTTGGATGGTTGGCTGTGTAGTTAGTTCTGTGTTTTCTTCTGCATTAATGGATGTGTCTTGCACTAATAGTGGCTCACACATAGTTTTTTTTTAATCGGTTTTAAGTCTCATTGACTGTATGTGTGAGAGGTGAGATGTCTGTGGTGTTTCATGGAGGACTCCGAGACTGCTGTGCTGCTGTTTTAAGATAATGGGAAGCACTCCAGGATGTGGCAGCCCTTGGCAAACAAATTTAGCAGATAAAATTGTTCTGCTGACACATTTTTCATGCCGACAAATATGTGTGTGAGTAATCTGTAACATTGAACTTGGGAATATGAGAGTGGGGCTGGAAGTCTGGTGGGGAAACTGGCCTGGTGACACAAGAAATCTGTTTGAAAATACTGGAGGGAGAGTCTAGTCCAGTCTGCTTGATTGCCAACAAACTTTTCAGAACACCCTTCAGTCTTGGATATTGCACCTTGTTATCTCTAAGAAAAGAATGTAAGTCTAATTAAATTGAGTATCCGTGTGAATTGAGGTTGTGCGAGTTGCTTATATGGAGTTAGTGGTCTGCACTGGGTTGTATTGTGTTACTAAACTCTTTTGGGTGTGTTGATACTTTGTGTACATAACCAAAACTTTCAGTTATTAAAAGCACAAGTAATTTGACAGGAATTCTATTAGTGTAAGTCTCTATTTTATCTGTTTGTTTTAGACTAGAAGAAAGGCGCCCAGGAATTTCCCATCTGTGTGTCAGTGAACTATTCTCTAATCTTTGTGAATGATTTGGATTTGGATTTAACATGTACAAAAACTTCCTTTTATGATTATTTAGGAATGATTGGTGAGGTGTATGAAGGGAAAAGGGTACATTTTGATTCAGCTCCTTGCAGAGGTCACCCCCTTGCCCCAGTCTTACATACCATGAGCTGCAAGGCAGAAATTGGCAACCCACAGTGTTTGCACAAAAGGCAGTAAGCACACAGACCTTGGCATGGCATTGGAAGCTGGAACCATGGCATTTGGAGGCAGGTATCTGTGGGAGCCAGCATCTCCTGCCTTCCCATGTGCCTTCCCAGCTGGCATGGCACCCCTGAAAGATTGCTGACCTCTGGCATTAAGAAACATCTAATGAGCTGTGCATTTTTTTTCATCACTTGCAACATGAAATCTGAAAAATTTCAAGTTATTATAATTCCTATATACCTTTTTTCCTTGTTTAATTTCCACATTTGTGTTACGCTGTGCCTGTATAGGAACCAGGTCTGAAAATGTGTTAAACATGCACAAATGAGGCTAAAATAGATGGAAATCAAACACATGTTCTAGTCTAAACAATCCATGTATTTATTTTGGGAATATTTTTGCTTTGATTCTCTTCCCTATTCTCATTTGCATTGTAAAAATTGTCCTCTGTGTGTGTTTTTTTTAATGCAAATCCTGCATGTCATAGTAAAATACTTGCAGGAAACTAACCTAGCTAAATGTATAAAAAGCAGGGAAGGGAGAATGATCACAGAAGATACAAAAGGTAAATGTTCTGCATTTCTTCTTCTTGGGGTAGTAGCGCATGTAAGACAGGTATTTGCTAGTGACCTTAGCATTTTTTTGGCTGTGAAAAATGTTCAATTGTTTATTTTTCCCCCCATAATCAGTTTGCTCAAGCTTACGTGGTAGTTGTCATCTAACAGCAGTCTTAGAGCATTTTTTAAGGTGTCAGCCACCAGAACATGTCCTAACTACCACTTGAGATATTTTGTGGACAGAAAACAAATTAAAATATGAAATTGGAGAGAGGAAAGGCATATTTGCAAAGAGATTGGAACAGGAAGTTTGAGAGGGTGGTGTGATTTTATTAGGCTTTTAAAATTTTGATTAATTTAGTGTTTTTCTTACAAGTTGGCCACTTCTGTATGACTGGAATCCCAGTCAAACTGGAAACCAGACTTGGTGATGTAAAAAAAATCTCTGAAGCTGTATTTGTGGTGGAGGATGATTGAGGTGGTGACTGATGGAGCTCAGCCTCAAGATCTCGTGTCCTGTTGACCTAAAGCAGCTGCATTAGAATGGCTGGTTTCTATAGAGACTTCATTGCAGTTCCTCTCTAGAGTGTCCTAATGGGTTTTCCTCTACTTTCTAGGGCTATCCTGGAAATCGAATAATCTATTAAAAATTCAGATCCCCTGAGCAATCTGTAAATAAAGATACTGCTCTGGCTAGCTGAGAAGTGTGATTTGTCTGCTGGTGTTGTAGACTACAGCAGATGCAGAAGCCATGATTTTTGGAGGCCTGAAAGACTTAGGGGTGTGTCTCATTTCTTGAATTGGTAGCACAAACAGGAAAAAAAAACAGAAGTGAAATTGCACAAGGGCTGTTCAGCTGCATGCTACCACAATCTGCTGCCTGGAAGGATGAAGTAATCAAAGCACAAGACTTTCACCAGCACCCACATTAGTATCCCAGGTCATCTGTAGGCTGCTAGTCAGTGCTGATGTAGCCTGCTGAGCTTTTGGGGCACGAGTGATTTGGGTTGCTGGCAGCACCATCTGTTGAGCACACCTGTATTGGTGTCACTATGGTCTAGTGCTCTTATTCAAGCTGTGCAATCTTGAGTTGGTGTGTGTGAGAGCATTCTGAGGTCTGGTGCATTGAGCTGTGTTTTTGTGCAAGTTTTCTATTATTTGAGCCTTTATGCTGGACTCTTTGATTGAAGAAACAGACCTGTCTTAGGGCAAACAGCAGCCTAGGGATACCTCAGTGTTGGAATGTCAGGAGGTTATAGAAATAACGTTGCAGTTCCATTAAAGGGAGCATTCACTGTGTGGGCAAAGGAGTTAATCTCGGTGCCCTAACACCATATGCAGCAAGTGCTGTGTTGCTACAGAGGTGTTTGAGCTGTGTGTTGTGTGCTCAGGTTTGTCAGTGCAGATCCCACCCACAGCAGCTGGTCCTGGGCTGAGGTCTCAGTGTGGTCTGGAGCTCACCTCTGTGCTGCCCTAGCAGGTGAGCTCAGTCATGAGATCAGTAGGGTCGTGTATGTTTGAAAACACCCCAAAAGTCCTCTTAAATAACATGTGCTAAGTAGACTAAAGCCACGTGTTTGGCAGCTGCCCAAAATGAAGGGCAATGACTAGAAACTGAAACCCAGGATTATTTTTGCCTTCTATTATTTTGTTGCCTGAACAATTTTTCCTGACTGTGGGCTCCTTCCTCCCTCAATTCCAGTGCGAAGTGGGGCAGGTTAGTTGGAATCCCTGGTGGCTTGCAGTGTAATGGAGGAGGTATTCCTCAGCCAGGCTCTTTGCTTGACCTTTGATTCTTTCCAGCCAAGCCTGATCTGGGAGAGGTGCTGTGAGCTTTAAACAGTGTACCAGTGCCCCATGATTCCCTTCAGCTGCAGGTTGGGTGGTGTTATTGCACTGACTGCTTGAAGCATCTCTAAAAGATATTCTGGGAGCAGAGAACCACAAATGGTGGACTGTACAACATGGTGAGTGTCTCAGCCTCAGCTCATCCAAACCTGAG